AAATGGCGAACATTTTTTTTGAAAATATGGTTAGAGTATGTCAAGATTGATATTAGCTTACTAATTGTTTATTTTAACGTACATAAACCCTCTGCTCACTCATATAATTGTTGCTTGAACCTTTATGAAATGTATTTTATAAGTAAAATACAAACAATTATAGCATGGCTTGCGTGGCAAAATTAGACAAAAAAGACACTTCAACTTGGCAAATCTATAAAGGAATAATAGACATTTATGTTATTAAGAGTTATCTCTCTTATCAGAGTATCAATGAACCTTAAATACTCAGACCCAGAAAAAGTAAAATGATTTTTTTGCATGTATTCGCAAATTTGAAGTTTCTAATTGGTCATTAAATAAGTGCATAAAAATAAATTTGATTTGCATTTTTAACTACTAAATTCTTTCTTTTGTAAAAAAAAAAAAAAAAAAAGAATGCATCTTGTTAAATGTTTTCTTTAAATCATTTTTCTAAAAGATCTACTCTCAAATAAAAACCAGAAATCTCTGTCGAGACTGAAGCTCTACTGGTTTGTACTTATAGCAAAGGAAGAGAAAAGTACTTAAGCAGTTGGGAATTGGAACTTTACAACAGCAACAAATAGAATAATGGTCCTTGATTACGTCTCTCTATGTTCTTAGTGTAGTCTACTTGCATGCCACATTATGATATAATCAGACAAAAACTGTATTTGGGTTCATCGAAATGAAAAACCTATATACAGAGTTATGTATCTTAGTGTAGTCTAATTGTGTGCCAAGTTATATTGAAATCAGACCAAAACTGTAGGAGGAGTAGCGTTTTGAAACACCGTTCATCGAAATAAAAACCGATACACAGAATTATGTATCTTAGTGTAGTCTACTTGTGTGCCAAGCTATACTGAAATCAGACCAAAACTGTAGGAGTAGCATTTTGAAAAATTGTTTACAGACAGACGGACGCCGGACGCATTACTATCGCATAAGCGGTTCTGGTCTCTGACCAGTAGAGCTAAAATATACATAATAATAATTAAAGACAATTGCTAATTTCTTAAATCCCAATATTAAACGGTCCTGATCAATATAAAATATCAGTAAGAAGTGATAAATACTAAATAACTGTCTACCCCTTGCAGTTTCTATTGAGAAATCCTTATGTTTGAAAAAATCCGTTCATAGTTTGTAAACAATTTTTCACAACATACATGTAACCTATTTATACCTCATGCAACAAGTTTTTGACCTGTGTTTAACCCGTTCATCAGTCAGTGTGTCAGTCCTGTAAGCGCAACTCCTCATAAACCGCTCCACACAATTTCGTCAAACTTTGCATATATTTAGGACACAATGTGTAGATGTGCATGTTACCAGGAAATTCAGATCCCTTTTATTTTTCTGGAAATTTTAGTACTTCGACTTTAGGGAGAGCGTGGGGTATGTGAGCTTGCTAACTTTTTCTTTCATTTTTAGCTCTACTGGTCAGAGACCAGAAGAGTTTATCCAATAGTAATGCGTCCGTCGTCCGTCCTTCTGTCTGTCTGTAAACAATTTTTCAAAATGCTACTGCTCCTACAGTTCTGGTCCGATTTCAATATAACTTGGCACACAAGTAGACTACACTAATTCTATGCATCGGTTTTTGATGTCCATAAACGGTGTTGCCGTGGTTACTAAAAATAGAAATTTCTGTGAAATTCTTTCAAAATGCTACTCCTCCTACAGTTTTGGCCCGATTTCAATATAACTTGGCACACAACTAGACTACACTAAGATACATAATTCTCTTCATAGGTTTTTGATTTCGATGAATGGTGTTGCCATGGTTACTAAAAATAGAAATTTCTTTGAAAATGCGACTCCTCCTACAGTTCTAGTCCGATTTCAATAGACTGCACTTAGATACATAATTCTTTGCATCGATTTTTGCTTTCGATGAACGTTGTTGCCATGGTTACTAAAAATAGAAATTTCTGTGAAATTCTTTCCAAATGCTATTCAACCTACAGTTTTGGTCCGATTTCAATTTAACTTAGCAGACAAGTAGAATATACTAAGATACATAATTCTGTGTATCGGTTTTTATTTTGATGAGTGGCAAGGATCATTTTCTATTCATTTTTGTTTTAAATTTCCAAGTCCCAACTGCTACTTCCTCTTCCTTTGGTTTAAGTATTAACCAGTAGAGCTACTGTCTCGACAGAGACTTCTGGTTAAATATTTTATCATTTTGAAATATTAATTAGTTATTTATATTATGCTGTTATTAAAATCATTTAATATGTCATGTTTTAGCGCACCTAGCTGATAGCTCAGGAGAGCTTTTCTGATCACCCGTTGTCCGTCCGACTGTAAACTTTTCATGTGTTCAAGAACCACTGGACCATTTTTAAACAAATTAGGTCCAAAGGCATTCACTTTTATAAATAAGGGTACCCACTTCCGCCCCAGCTCGGTGTTGGACTCGAGACCTACGTAATCTGTCTCCTATCAGTACAGAAACAGCGTGTAAGACAAGAAAGTAAAAAAAAACTTGCTTTCGATGCCGATGGAATTCTCGCAGCACTGTCCCACACTAAAACGGTCATTTAAAGTGTTTTTTACTATTATCAAAAAAGGCTTTGGATCGATATATATATAAAAGGATTCGAAATAGTTGGTTTTAGAAATCTGTTGTATGATTTTTTTTTTTATACTACTTGTTCTAGTTGCATGTGTGGTTAAAACCGAGGGTTTAAGGCAAGGATAATTGCATCGTCTCAAGCCACGGTCTAAAATTCGCATACATGCAGCTCCCTCTATCCAGAATCGGAGAGGATCGTACATTTTGGCCGTGGTTTGCGACGATAGGAGAATTGTGGGCACGAATTTTTTAAAGGACTCAGTCTGATTTTTGAGCATCTTCAATGAATTCAGTAACTTGTCCCCTACATTAAAATCTTATTTTACTTGAAAAATACGTTAATAGTAATCTAAAAACCAAGCTATATGATTAACGTGATGACTTTAACTTTTCTATCGTCAACTTCCATATCCTTCTCCAAATATTTCATTCATACCATTTTTACGTCATTACTGCAATACTTTCAATTGCACTATGGAGTGCTTTGTCAACCTGATCCATTCCTAGAACACATGACCTAAGTCAACATATGATGGTTTCTTCTACTGTTCGGCCCGTGGTGCCTCCTTCGTTATCTCCATATCCTTCTCCAAATATTTCATTCATACCATTTTTACGTCATTACTGCAATACTTTCAATTGCATTATGGAGTGCTTTGTCAACCTGATCCAATCCTAGAACACATGACCTAAGTCAACATATGATGGTTTCTTCTACTGTTCGGACCGTGGTGCCTCCTTTAGTAATTTTAGTGTTTGTCTTTTCACGATTCCGTTTGTTTACAAGTTATATCATTTGCTGTTCGATAGGGTCACCTTTTACATAGCAAACACTGTACAATTAAGTAAAAAAAAAAACTATAAAGTTACGGTTAAGTGTTATCATTCAATAATATGTTAATATAAATATCAAATAATGATTGAGATTACATTTGAAAATTTTTATAAGCATTCAACTTGAACATGTGAAGATAGTGCCATCACAAAAAATATCCATTTATAAATAGCTAAGGTGTTCCAGACATGTATACAGTGTACTGTATGTCCTCTGTGTCTGGATTTGTAGTGATAGCATCATAAAAGTAATAAAAAAAATTCATAACATGATGATTACGACTGACAAAATGACATGGAATGACGGGTTCATTTAAAGGTTGCGGAGTATCAAAACAGGATTGAAACTTGTATAATATTGATGTATCAGTCTTTCCTTTGCATTTCTGGAACCCAAACAGAATACACGGACCAGTATATGACGTTAAAACAAAGAAAGACTAGAGGAAATATGATTCTAGACAATTTATCCACGCGTCTCGCTTCGTCTCGACTTTCGCTGTCCAACTGAGGCCTCTCTTTTCTACCATCTTCCTGCAAACAAGAAATAAATCAAAATTACAGAATTCAGAACAAAGTTATGATGCCTTGATTTTACATTTACTAATGAATTTTTGCGAGAAGCTCTGGCTTTATCAGTTTACGTCTTACTTTTACAATTAGACAATGTATGGATGCTCTTTTACGATATAAATATTTAGTTCAACCTTTTATTCAACGAAAAATTTGGATTATTTCAATTAACAAATAATTAAGTTGTACTTGACGCAAGTTACAACAATCCTACCCTCAACTCCCGGTCTTCTCATGTTAGTGCCCCTTCCTAATAATATGACCACTATTAAGATTTTCTTATATACCTCCATACTTGATACAGGTTTAAATATCAAAGTAAATTGTCAACTCTAAAAGTCGGTGCTTCTAGCAAATTTTCTCTCCCCACATCCTGCACTGCACTTTATTAGAGGGAGAATTCGAATATAATGACGAACACATGTTAATATGACAGTAAACATAAACCAGAAGTCTCTGTCGAGACTGTAGCTCTACTGGTTTGTACTTATAATAAAGGAAGAGAAAAGTAGCAGTCGGAACTTAAACTTTACAAAAGCAATAAATAGAATAATGATCCTTGATTAAGTCACTTTATGTGGCAAGATTGCAATAAGACTAGAACTGTTGGAGTAGTTTTCAATAAAATTTTATAAAATTTTCAATTTTTTTATCATGGTAACATCAATCATCAAAATCAAAAACGTAAAACTGATAATTATGTATCTTAGTGTAGTCTACTTGCATGCCAAATTATATTACAATCAGACTAAAACTGTAGGAGAGGAGCATTTTAAAAGTATTTCACAGAAATTTCTATTTTTAGTAACCACGGCAACACCGTTCATCGAAATCAAAAACTGATATACAGAATTATGTATCTTAGTGTAGTCTACTTCTGTGTCAAGTTATATTGAAATTAGACCAAAAGTGTAGGAGGAGTAACATTTTTAAAAATTGTTTATAGACAGACGGACGGACGGACGGACGCCGGACGCATTACTTCTGCATGAGCTCTTCTGGTCTCAGACCAGTGGAGCTAAAAATTAAGAAACAAAAATTAATTCTACACAACTATTTACATATAATCATCCGTATAATAAAATACTCCATTTAGAGGCCATGAAATTCACAATTTTGAAAGAAGCACCATTACTTATCATAACTATACATCTAGCAAGCTTACTTTGGTTACTTAATACCCAGATTTGTGAATTGTGCACGCCAATTACCCCACATGAACCACTGGCCCTGGGGTCACAGATTTCAAAATTATGGAAATTTTATCATAAATTTTATTTCATCACAAATGGTCGATTAATTCCATAGAGCAGATTTCAAAGCATTAATTAATTTCGAGATTATGTATCCCCCCCCCCCTTTCACCATGACCCAGGGGCCCTCAAATCAATCATTTACGAAGGGGCGCCTTTTTTATCATAAAAATGAACTTCGAGCATTGGCATTGTACACAGGAGCAAAGGAAAAAAAATTTCAAAGCATTCATGCATTTTCACTTTAAAATTGTAAGACCTCCGCCCTATTACCAGAACTCCTGACCCAGGGTCCCTGAGGCATTCTTGATCATCATAACTATGTACAAAGTTAATTGAATTAATACCCAGGAGCAGAGAAGATTTTGAAGGAATTTATGTATTTTCTCTATATAATTAATAGAGACTCGCCCTAACACCAGAGCCTGGGGCTATGAAAATTCACAATTTCGGAGGAGGCAGCCTTAATAAACATAACCATGTATTTGGTTAGTTTAATTAATACCCAGGAGCAGGGAAGATGTTCAAAGAAGTAATGCATTTTCACTAAAAAACATATTATCCCCGCCTTAGTTCTAGAACACCTGACTTTGGGGCCATGCATTTTTCAAGTTTGTTAGAGGGCGCAATGCTGATTACAATCATGCCAACAGTTTGACTGCTTGATGTCCAAGAGTAAAAAACAAGATCTTTTAAAATTGCATTAATTTTAGTGGTTTTTGCCCTACCCCTCGGGCCCCAGGTGGACAGGGAACTTTAAATTCACAATTTTTGTTCCCCTTCAACCACAGATGCTTTATGTCAAAATTGGTTGTGTGGTTGCAGAAAAAAAAAAGCAGAAAATGTTCAAATAATAACACAAGATGCATATCGAAACACGTCAAGCAACTTTACTCAGGTGACCTAATAAAACAGAAAAATGTACAGGTGCAAGAAATCAATCATTCGAAAGATATGTTTTACCTTTCTCTTGATTAGGATAGGAAAGAAATTTAGAATTGAATTTTAGAAATTTCATCAACGCTTGAGAATCTTAAGCAAATGAAAAATGCTATCAAGTTTACTGAAAATTTCAGTCAATAAAAAACATACGTAGTACTAATATTTATGCTATCATTATAGGATGACGTATTTTTATTGTAATAATGTTATTATTAAAAGTATTATGTATTTTTTTTATATTGACTGAAAATTATTTTTGTAAAGTTGATAGGCATGCTAATAGGCAACTTATAAAAATCTGGAATGAAACATATGGAGATAATAAGTCCGTAAAACAATACAAATTAGGAGTAGAGCAAACACGGACCTCCAAAACATCTGAGTTGGGATCAAGTCCCATGGAGGAATAAGCATCCCATGCCGACCGGTCACTCCCGCCGTGTGCTCCTTGTCATGATCGGGAAATAACGGAAAAAATCCGACGTCAATTCGTCGCCAGCGTGGCGCATTGGTTAATTAAAGCGTTTGCTGTAGAGTCGGTAAGTAAGGAGTTGAGCCTTACGTCGGGGGTTCGAACCCTACTGTGTGGAAACCGGTCCTTCGGATGAGACCGTGTAAACCGAGGCCCCGTGTCATAGTCGGGGCTGGCACGAAAAAGATCCCTTCATGCTCAATGGCTCTGAGTGCCGAGTATAAGATAATATTTGCAGCTCACCTCAGGCGAATGGTGGCGTCTTCATATGAGTGAAAAAATTCTCCAGAGGGACGTTAAACAATATACAATCAATCAATCAACCGACGTCAATTCAGTGTATAAGTAATGGATTAACAATTAGTGTGAAAAACGACAGTCAGCAATTGACTCAATATTACATTGTATTTGCTGACAAGGTCATTTTATCGACCATAGAACTTACGAAATTGTTGAAGTGATATTAAACGTGATATTTAAAATATTTTATATTTATATGTCAACTTTATCATGATAAGTAAAATATTTTATATTTATATGTCAACTTTTATCAAAACCCTATAAATAATGAATTATCACATATCTGTAAGTAATGACGACGGATTTTTCCGTTATTTCCCGATCATGACAAGGAACACACGGCGGGTGTGACAGGTCGACAGGGGATGCTCACTCCTCCATTGCATCTGATCCCACCTCCGATGTTTCGGAGGTCCGTATTTGTTCTGCTTCTATTTTACATTGTTTTATGGACTTTTGATCTTGAATAATGTTTGTTATCTCCATTTGTTTCATGTAGTAAAGAGAAATTAAACAAAAAAAACTTAATTTCAGTTTCATAGAAAAAAATCCTTCGAAACCCCCCATTTAACGTTCAATTATATTTTATATAAAATCTCCACGGTATGAAGATTTATCACAAACATTGAATTACAATTTTATAAAACGGCATACATACGCCAAAAACGGCAAAAGTGAAAATTTAGACTTGAACTGCCATTAATTTTAAAGATTTACTGCAAAACCAAACTTCTTTTTCATTAAGTTTCATTCACAGGGCCGCTCTTTGCATTCCGCAGTGGTCTCTAGCCCGCGACGTAGGGAATAAGTCCTTGCTTTGTTAAACTAGAACGAATTAAACGCTTTAAGCACTGCGCTATGCAATTTAATAGAAAAATATTTTTTCTAAAAAAAAACATCCTATACAAGTCATACATTACCTTTCCGTGTAGAAGAAGAGGTAATTCCTTCACAGAAGACTTCCTCCGTTGTTGAACCCTTGCCTTTACATTTACATAGGAGAATTCTATCAAAGCAGCAAAAACAAACACTAAGCATGTTGCCATCCAGACGTCTATAGCTTTGATGTAAGATACACGTGGAAGCGTGGCACGTGCTCCAGAACTTTGTGTTGTCATTGTAAGAATTGTCAACAAACCCAAGGAAATTCGGGCTGGAATTGCGTCAATGTTCAGCCAAAATGACACCCATGACAAGCAGACGATAAGAAGACTTGGAATATACACTTGTGTAATATAATATCCGTATGCACGGCTCATCTCGATATCAATACCCAAGCAAGTAAAGGTAACTGAAAATAAGTATTAATTATATATAATATCTTTATACACACATGAGGGTCATTGGCCACAATGCTCACCCGATTGAACATAGCCATGTTGCTTGAAAGAGTTCAATTTCAATTTCATTTTGAACAGTCTATACACTATTTTACATATTTAAATTTCAAGTCCCTCGGACGGGACGTTAAATGGTGACCCGTGTCAAGATGACAATCCCCTTGGAACGTAAAAGATCGTTTCTATGGAGTTCGAAATTGAGTAGGTTCACTGGGTCGCCAGAGAAACCAAAAACTTTGAAAAACCGATTGTTTAAACTTATAGTCTACCGAAACATGGCTGAAAAATTAGCGACTCGGCGTTAAACAATATACAATCAATCAATTATTGCATTGGAAAAAAAAAGATCAATATATAAACCGAAATTGTGACCGCACATTTCTTCCGAGCATTTTTAATAACTAACAATTAATATGAAAGCACATAACGAGATGCTTCAATATTAACCTTACAAGAGATGTTTGTGAAACAAATACGCCCCTCCCACAAATAATTGGAATTTTTCTAAGTCCAAGGAGCATAACTCTGTCAACAATGATTTGATCGTACCCAAAAACAGAACTCGGCCTAGAGATTGACTTTTCATATGATAAATCAGTATACAAATTTCATTTAAGCATGTGCAACCGCTGTAAAGAAAATGATCGGAAACTGCAAATAATTGTAATTTTTCCAAGTCCAATGGGCATAACTCTAACCAAAATGGCTCGATCATACCCCAAACAGAACTTAACATAGGCATTTTTATGACAATTCTTCTTCGAAGGGGGGCATCAATATCAATGTGACTTACACTTTCCCACTCTTGTTTGCTGGAAAAGAGGATATAATGCGAATTAATGCAAAATCTATAGTTCCTGATTTAACTCCTCATGCCCAGGATACAATTCACGCATCGAAGGAATTGTGTATGTTAATTTGATTTAGTGTAACCATGTAATTGTTATGCCTCCTTCGAAGAAGGGAGGGCATATTGCTTTGCTGCTACTTGTCGGTCGGTCGGTCCATTTAGTTTCCTTTCATTTTCTTCACAACCGTTGCATATACTGAAATGAAATTTGGTATACAGGTATATCAGATGAATATATAGATCAAGTTCTCTTTCGGGTAAGATCGCGCCATTTTTGACAGAGTTATGACCTTTTGGACTTAAAAAAATTCCAATATGGGGGGAGGGGGCATAAGTGTTTTACAAACATCTCTTGTTAAAATTATTTTTTTTTAATTTTGAAAATAAATGCATAGACAAAAATGATAATGTTTTGAGAATTTTGCTCTTTTAAAATCTTATCCTTGTTACATTTTAATGAGAAAACTGAAGAGAGCTTGTGGACTACCTAACTTCATCTAGTTACAGCACTGTAACAATCGAAAAATCTCAAACAATAGATATGAATTTCGACCATGGTAAAGAGATTCTTTTTCTTTTTATAATGAATCAGCTTGTGACTTATTTATATGTACACTTTCCATTTTGAAATCTTGAAAATCTGTGGACTTGTATTTTTCATTTTTTCAAAGTATTACGAAGTGGATATGACAAATCACAGAATTTCCGTTTCTTACACAAAGCACCCCCCTTATATATATTGGAATAAAACATCGACCCTGTTTTAAAGCTTACCTTATTCTTTGAGAATTTCATTTAACACTTTAACAATCTAAATCCCCTTTATCTGTGGTGTTTTATGATAAATTTGTTGGAAATTGGCCGGTTGTTCATTATGTTTTAGATTATACACTGGCGGAGGAACAGACTATCTTCAGACAACGTGATCAGAAAAAGATTATAGATCAGGTGAAGTAAAAACTTATGGGGGTAGATATTTACCGGAAGAATTACCGTTAGCGTAAGTAATGTCACATGTATGGTTAGTAATGTGTCCAATTTCGAATTGTGGCAGTGTTAAGTTTGGTCTTTGAACCAGAGGAATGTCATTCCATCGAAATTTCAAAGTATCTGTACTGTATCCATCTGTTAAGAAAAACATGTGGGAAAAAAGAAAATTATTCTTAATTACTATTATTATATATTTGGTCATTTTTATAGCGAGAAAAATGTCAATATCTATGTTACATTAAAAAAAAATCAATTTATCAGTTAAATGCAGGGTCGGTGAGAATGTCAACAGATTGTTTGAAGATTTGATCTTCAAAAACGACATTTAAAATTGCCAATCACACAATCAAGCATCTCTTTGTCATCAGTTTTGGATTACTTGCATGTACTTCCTTCACGTTTAAAAATAAATAATTTTGCAAATGATAAATGACAAGCTATGGATAAGTAGGAATGTATACGAGTTCCACTTAAGAGCAGACAATTTAAAAAAAATCGTGGAGTATGGTTAAACAATGCTTCAGAATATCAAATGCTAACTTTATACTAATTGTTAGGCTATTATTTACACAATGAATTGTCGACGGATTTTTCCGTTACTACCCGATTATGACAAGAAGTACATGGAAAATTGTGTTGCTTAATAAATAGTCTTTTGAGCTTGAATACTGTTCGCCATCTCCATATTTTTTAATTGATTAAACTAAATAATTAAGTCATTTGTTTATGTTGAATGAACATTGTAATAAATTGTTCTAAAGGTTTATAAACCTTCTGCTTACTCATATTAAATGTTGCTTGAACCTTAATGTTTATCCAAAAGAAATGTATTTTATAAGTAAAATACGAACGATTATGGCATACTTGCGGGGCAAAATTGGACAAAAAAGGCACTGCAACTTGTCAAATTTTTTAAAGGAATAAGTGATGTCATTAAGAGTTATCTCTCTTATCAGAGTCTCAATGAACTTATGTTTTTTGGAAAATCATAAAAGTTCATGCAACATTTTGTATATTGAGCAGAGGGTTTATGAACCTTAAATATACTTACAACTCTCCATCTGTATTGAACATGTCTGTTGATCTAACGGGTATTTGTGAAGGTACATTTGGCAAGAGAATGTCCCTGTCACCCTACAAATTTGTAAAATAAAATTGCAAAGGAAATGTGATAACATACAAGGTAGAACCATCTGTCACTATTTCTGTTTACCTCATGCTGTATACAACCAGGCCGTCTGGGTAAATGTGCATTAGTTTATTTGGAACAGTAACTGAATGGGTATTCGCTTTTTTCTCGTTCTTAATATATAGATCGGGAACCCATACATTGGACATTACACGCGTATCCAACTCGATCTTTGGGAAATCAAAGCGCCCTCTAAATGCCAATCTGTGGTCATGCCATCTCTGACGAATAAAGAAGCTCATCTTGAAGTCCTGTAATTCAGTAGAAAATATTTCATGTTAGGTCATTTTAAGAGTGTTATGGAAGGGCCAGTGGGTCGTTTCGCTCATAAGCATTCTTAAAAATGAGAAAACCCGTAACATTCATATGAAAAACTTTTCACCGTTAAACTTCTAGGTCTAACAACAGCTTTTTCACCCGAGATTTTTTTTGTCATGTCTTCCTTAAGGCATTTTTGTAAAAATTGATGAATAAATACTGAGATGGGCCTTTGGTCCATAACATAGTTCTGAGAGACCCTCTAGTCTGCAAGGTTTTACGTTGGTAATATGTTTCCATTCATGTAATCATAAATTTAAAATTGATTTTTTTTTTTATTTCAACATGAACGCTAAAGTATTATAACCCTATTGATTTCAGGTAAGATATAAATGCAAATTCTGTGTTTTATCAACATTTTTTCCGCTAAGTATATTCCAACAAAATTGTTTATGCATGAAAAGGTTTTTTTTCAATGAAATTTTACATAATTTCAATCACATGCGTGAAAAGGAAGACCGGGTCACATGGATTTATTTTGATGTGTTCAAAAGATCAAAGTTCAACGTCGTAAATTTATACATGATGTCTGTGTGTAACACTTTGCTTGGAGAGCTGCATATTTTCAAGAGGATTTTGGGCTTTTGCAATGATAAACTCCTCACAGCGCGAACCAAGAGCATACGCTCTAACCACTGCGCCTCGCGGGCGACCTCTCTATGTGTCAATCGACACAGATCGCGTTATGTTGAGACTGCCAGTTGAGAGATTTATTGTATTACATGTCGCTATTTTTACTATTAATTATTCAAGATTAAGATAAAATTGTTTTTAAACGGTCTTTATATTCTTATTACATTACCAAAACATAATATATAACAGGACGTCTAAATAAAAAAAAATATTGTGTAAATTTTCAATATCGAACGTAAATATATAAAAACAATTCTTGTGACTTCATCTTTGCATATATATTTTATACATTGTTAAGATTTTAAACATTATTTTGTAGCTGATTGCTTCAAGAGAGAGAGAAGAGAGAGAGAGAGAGGGATGAATTACCATCGTACTCGCACTGATGAGTCTATTCTTTCTGAATGTAAACTTTTTTGTTACTAAACAGGATCACATAAAAAATAGAAAAATCCTGGGTTTATTCACTACTGGACGAAAAAAGTCATCAAATTTTACAGTGTGATAAAGTTTCCATATATTACTGATACTGTGCTGTTGTTGCACATAATTACTGATATTTAGGTTATCTTTATACATGTTGTTGCTGATAATTTTATTTGTTCAGATAAATACATGTATAATTTAATAATTCTTACATATTCAGTCTGATAAATACTGATAAATACTGTTGAGGTACTGTCGGGGGCTGAGAATTGCTGATAATTACTGTTGAGGTACTGTCGATGTCTGAGATTTACTGATAATTACTGTGGTCATTGTTTTAAACCTGGGAATGGATTAAAATAGCCTGAGAAATGATTATTTGTTTTTTTTTTAAAGTATTTTAACAAATTCATTACAGTCAATTACAAAATAAATTATTCTAAATAAATAAGTCACTTTTATTAATTTTTTTTCAGTTTGCGGGTCATTACCGGTAATTTCATTATAATTATTTTTAGGCCATAATGTTAACATAAGCATAAATGTTTATGTTTTTTCTTTAAATTTCTCCTTACACGTAGATGACATTATCTGAGGAAAATTATTCTGTTGTATTTGTTGTGGCTTTTCACCCATACGGTGACTTTTTTAAAAAGTTGAAAAATTGTTCGATAAAGGTTAAAAAAAATCAATCAATCAATCATATCTTCTTTCACATGTAAAGTTGTTTAAAAATTGATACAGTCAATGGTTGTAAATATCAATTTATTTTAGGCCTGTGGAGTCAAAATGCATGACAGACCATTAAGTTGAAAACACCCAGGTTTTCCATTTACTTTTAAATTATGTTTCCATTTTAACAAGACATATTAAATATTCTGTCATAAAATCAACATGAGAGCGTACACTTTGTTTTATAGTTATTCTATAGAAGAATGTGACAGGGTTAAATAATTAAATTGAAGCATCTTTAATTATTGTTTTTATATATTATGTAGACAGCGCGCTCTGTTCAATAAATAATTTCCTGAACTTTCTATCATACACTTTATAGCTCTCTCTCTCTCATCTCTCTCTCTCTCTCTCTCTCTCTCTTAAATTATGTTAAGGCTTAAGAATTGATAACAGTTAATATCTTCTTTGCATAGTTTCATTGTGAGAAGCTGGAAAGGAAGGGCTATTCGAGACACTGCATTAAAAATGAATGGTAAAGAATCATATGGTGAATATTATGCGCCACTCTTTAAGCTGCTTAAAACTTCTTCAAAAAACAAAATAAAATATTCACTGAAATAACTTTTTCAATTACAGCAAACTTTGTCTGTTTTATAGACACATAGAGCAAGTGGATTTCAATCAGCAGAAATGATATAATGTGCATCAAAAATAGGGATATCGTTACGGCTTGCGTTTTTGTAAAATTAGAATTTCTGTGCAGAGATTATAAATTTTCTATTCTATTTTTGATTGACCTTTGTATAAACGAACAGTATTTACTTAGGCATCATTTATTTGATTTTACTTGATTGTAGCACAAAAAGGAGGAGGTGAAATTTACTGTTTAAATTAGGCCTAAGTGATAGCCGATAGGACAAGGTCTGGTTTTTAGTTGTGTGTTTTAAAAGTCATGCAAGTTATGATATTATACTTACGAATTTTTATATGCATGAATAAAATTATTTTAGAGAATCAATTGCAATAAACCATACAAAATTCAGAACTGAAGCAATTATAACATTTATTCATGAGTGCGATACACAACGTCATGTTTCTGACTTTAAATCCATACATTTAAAATTTTTTTTTTTCTGCATTAAGCAAGTGGAGTTTCCCTGCATCTGAATTGTGAACAATAGGTGCAATAGCACAAAAAGTTTTACTAATCAATCGTTCTCTTTATATCTATATGATTTGTTGTTCAAATTCTTATTTAAAAAGTGAAGTCAATTTCTCGTCTACGTATTTACCGAAAGCAAACCATTTTAGCAAAAGAATTGAAAATTATACATGTGACCACCTCTCCGGGATATTCTTTTATCTGATAAACAAAATATACTCCCCGGCCTAATTCCCTTACTTCGCATTGATAGCAACCAACAAATTTTTTTTGTTTAGTTTCTTATTCACGCATGCCTTTTAGACCTACTGTTATGTATTAAATCACCTACATTTTATATGTTTTTGTGGTCTATGTATACTAAAGTAAAATGGTAAAAAGATTCAAATAAATGATTGATTGATTGAAGAAATATGCGTAAATCTAAAAAATAAAATTATTAAATACTGAAGAAAGATAGATCTTTGAGAATTGAAATAATAATTAAAATAAGTCTGTACAACGTACATGATGTACATGTAGATACCCATTTTTTATTATAGTACCAAAGTGTTCTATTCTAAATATTTTTTCTATCAATTTTATTCGTTATCAAATTCAATATTACGGAATTTTTTTTTTCGTGCGACCATAAACTTTAAGATTGTTCTAAAGTAGCGAGTACATGTACAGTGTAGGTAGTTTGTTTATTGATAACACCGGTGCCGCAGACGAAGAACAATAGGTAATTAGTGCCCATTGTTACGCTGACCACTACAATTTGCATGGAATATACAAGTTGTACCCGATCTACCCCGGGGCTGAAGACATGTACACAATACAGCCAAATCACAGGTCGATCACCAATTTCTGATCAATTTAAATCAATTTAAAGGTGTTTTCCTTTCAACTTTTTACCATGCAAAATTAAAATCGATCAATTTGATCATAAACTAATAGTAACATATTAAATTAAGTCTCATTTCAGTTCTTATTTCCCATTCCATAAACTCAAATTAAAAAAAAAATAATGAGATTTCAAAACTGATGAAATAAAAAATGATTTTGTATTTAAATTTTAAGAGACAAACTTAACACATGTACCTTTGCACTAGGGATTCTTAATTAACCTCTAATTTTTAATCAGCTCGCCCCATTTGCCGGTTGCACATGCATACAGTGTGTACTTGTACATATGTACATGTGGAGGAGTTTAATTCTTGGACGATCTACAAACCTCTACATAACATTAAAATAAATGAATAAATAAATAAACTATTAATTAAAATCAGTGCCCACAGATTGAACATATTCAAACCTGTTTTCACCTCTTAGTTACTTTTAAAAGGGATAAAATTTCTAATTTTCGAGCAAATTTTCAAATATTTTGACAAAAAGAGACCAGAAAACTGAACATTTAACAAGATAAATTTAATTGTTTTCGAATTTTTTTTTTCGTGCGACCATAAACTTTAAGATTGTTCTAAAGTAGCGAGTACATGTACAGTGTAGGTAGTTTGTTTATTGATAACACCGGTGCCGCAGACGAAGAACAATAGGTAATTAGTGCCCATTGTTACGCTGACCACTACAATTTGCATGGAATATACAAGTTGTACCCCGATCTACCCCGGGGCTGAAGACATGTACACAATACAGCCAAATCACAGGTCGATCACCAATTTCTGATCAATTTAAATCAATTTAAAGGTGTTTTCCTTTCAACTTTTTACCATGCAAAATTAAAATCGATCAATTTGATCATAAACTAATAGTAACATATTAAATTAAGTCTCATTTCAGTTCTTATTTCCCATTCCATAAACTCAAATTAAAAAAAAAATAATGAGATTTCAAAACTGATGAAATAAAAAATGATTTTGTATTTAAATTTTAAGAGACAAACTTAACACATGTACCTTTGCACTAGGGATTCTTAATTAACCTCTAATTTTTAATCAGCTCGCCCCATTTGCCAGTTGCACATGCATACAGTGTGTACTTGTACATATGTACATGTGGAGGAGTTTAATTCTTGGACGATCTACAAACCTCTACATAACATTAAAATAAATGAATAAATAAATAAACTATTAATTAAAATCAGTGCCCACAGATTGAACATATTCAAACCTGTTTTCACCTCTTAGTTACTTTTAAAAGGGATAAAATTTCTAATTTTCGAGCAAATTTTCAAATATTTTGACAAAAAGAGACCAGAAAACTGAACATTTAACAAGATAAATTTAATTGTTTTCGAGAAAAAAAGGACTTCAAAAACAAAATGTTGTCCAAACTCGACCAGTTGACGTGGTGAAAACGGAACAAATTCAACTTTTCTAACCTGCAGGAAACTTTTCTTTATCCCGATTTTTTTTTTCTATCCATTAAGAACTTTTTTTCTTATTATTGAAAAAAAAGATCACCGATCTCCCTACATAATTTTCTTGGAGTCGGGAAAGGCGGCGATGGATCTTTTTTAGATAGCATAATTTTCTTTTTATTTACAGTTTATTTTTCAATAAGATCTTATGCAAAAGTAAAATTCCATTTTTTTCTGCAGTTAATTTTTTTTATTAATTCTATTTCTATATATTCATTCTATTAATAATTCATTTGATTATTGTCAAAATTTTCACAAACGTAATGTAGAAATTGAGATCAGCATACATACACACAGTCATGTAATTTTGTCACAAGCAGGACATTTAAAGAGATATGAAAATTTTGTCATGATAATTCAAGTAAAAGAAAGTAATAATTGAAGGTTTTATAGCCCTCTGTTTTAATTTAAACCAATTACCAGGTTAAAAACAATGACCACAGTAATTATCAGTAAATCTCAGCATCGACAGTACCTCAACAGTAGGATATATTAATCACAAAATTATCAGCAATTCTCAGCAACGACAGTACCTCAACAATATTTATCAGTATTTATCAGACTCAACAGTAAAAGACGACAGTAATTATCAGTATTTATCAGAAACAACAAAAAATATCAGCAACAACAGTAAAAAACACAGTAGATATCAGTATTTATCAGCAACAACAGCACAGTATCAGTAATTATCAAACTTTATCAGTAAAATTTGGGATTCTCAGCACTTTTTTCGTCTAGTAGTGATTTAAATGTATAAACTATTGCTGTTTGTACTGCTTAATTAAATTGGTATAACTCACTTAATTATTTCTTTCTAAAATTGTCGGTGTCGTCAAAAAAAATGTAAAAGCCAACTTGACAATTGAAAATGCCCTCATAATTTAAAATGCCTTTGAAATACAGCAGACTAAACTAGTGTAATGGAAATTTGTTAATTAAAAAATTATAAGTATTTCCCTTGATATCTGAAGTGCATCATCTGATTACTGACATGTATGCGTTTTAGAAGAAAAATGATTGAACAACCGTCTGCTACAGTCAAAACTAATGCAACAGAAAATTGCACAAAACTTCAAATTTAGGAGATAGGTTGTTTACGTCCATTAGCTAATTAAAGTTTAGAGAAAAAACAAAACTTAATTTGAATACATCGATATCTTTTTACTGAAAAAATGGATTGATGCATGTTTTGGCAAGATAAGTGCTAATGAAACTTGGCAAATTTCATTTCAATTTATTCTACGACACATCCATTTTAAATTTTATGATTCTGTCGACTTGAGTTTGCTTTATCATGTATGTACACCTATAATGTTCATTGATTTTTATATTAAGTGGAGAAACCACTTTGTGTTGGCTTTATTGCAAAGAACTTGATTTCCTGGTAGAACAGAAATAATTAACGTCACATTCGACAAAAACATTTTATTTAATTCTCCGTGAAATCCCAATGAGTAGAGCAGCTTTGAATAAAATTGCACTTCTGTGATATGTGAACCTCTTCCGTCGTAATCCTATATTGGAGCTGTAAATTTACTATGTTTTTGTAAACTTAGCCTTGTATAACTAACATTGATCTACTTTTCGTCTTCCTCAGAGAATACTTGTAAAAATGTTAATGTTTTTATGTCATAAAATTATGCCAAACCTTTAAGTAACGGGGGCACCCGGGGATCGTAGTCTTCGTTAAGAATGACATCAAAAAACTCGTGTCTGAAAGATAGAAATCAAATGCCAATATTAATACAATGTGATTTTCTTTTTTTACGTGAAGCTGGCATTGATAAAACCAATGCTGCCATTACAATAAAGGATGTAAAGTGTTGGCCAGAACTACGATTACGTAGCCTTGGCAATATTGAAAAATAAAATAACAATAATTTACTGAAATCAGATCAACATAGCATTTAAGATGCATACACCCCTGACTTTACATTCTTCTGCTGTAGGTATTAAAAGAGAATATATAAAGTTTTAAAGAAAGTTAAGGTGAAACTAGCATTTCCAGAAAAATGAAGATAAAAAATTATTCAAGATATGGTTCTAATGAAAAACAGTTATTTGTGAAGTTATTAAACGAAAATAGGGGACTATGAATTTTCTCCTTTAGTTTACATTCATTATTAGAACAAAGAAACCTTGCTCTATCAATCTCAAATATGACCAGAGATGGTGTTTTCCAAAACGATTACATTTAATGTTTCCAATATATGAAAAACAATATTATATAATAGTTTATTATATCTCTGAAAATGTAAATATTCGGGTATTGTAGGCGCAGCTCCTACTTTTAATCGTGTTTTCAATAAACAGAAATTTTGACCAGATGATAGAATGAAGCAAAAAAAAAAAAAAAAAACGCCACGAAATTGCCACATGTCTTCCATTGTGTTTATTTATCTGTTGTCGGAGAATGACTGTAAATTCCTTTTCTTGTATGTTCAGCTTTCAAGAAATGTCACAACTGTATACCATTATGATACATAGCATTAATGTGTGTCCAGACGGCCAAGAAAAAGAAAACAGTCTGTTCGTTTGCCAGAATAAATTGCTGCCTTCCAAAATTCTGTAATGTCCAAAAGGTAATACCTTGTTTGAGTCTCAGTTCACTAAAACTACAGTATAGTTGACAAGTCTTTTCTACATATTTCACATTCTCGAGATTTGAAATTCAACTCGAGTGTTCCTTTGTAATGCAAACAATTGAGTCGGGTAAATTAAAGTAAGGAAAATCGGACAGTGCATACTGGAACATGTGGAATTCATAAATAAAATGTGAAGAAAACCGATACTATAATCAATATCACAGATATTTTCTTCCAATTCTTAGATGTCAATGAGCCCTATTTTGAATTTGTAAACTAAAATGAGTGCAACAATGGCCCTGTAAACCAAACTTCCTACTGAATGTTCAAGCATTCCTGTAACGGGCAAAAGTAGTATTTCTAGTGTGATAAAAACAACTCTTTCGGCTTTTTGTTCTTTAGAAGCCAAACGTTTCTAATATACCTGGAAATATCGTGATTTTTCTAATCAACAAACTTTCATAATTATGCTCGCCTTAAATTTGTAGTTGGTATAAAATCAACACCTTTACATTTTGTAAGATGTTCGAATATATTTATTTAGACAGAATGGGTACAGAAATGTGCATGGCATTATACATCTTGGAGTGATTTCATATTTTGCTGAAACTTACCCCGAGGTCGGATAAGAATATCTGTACCATTTCCTTATTTTTTTTTTCAAGAATAATAAGCCGTAACAGAAAATTTGTTGTTAACTTTTTTTCACACATATGGAGACGTCCACGTCCTATTATTGGTACTTATGCCCATTGAGCAGTGGAGGGGGGGGGGTGTCTTTTTTTCCAACACCTACTGCGACAAGGGACCTCGATTAATACGGTCTTATCCGAAGGATCGACCTCATGTTCCACAGTGGGATTCGAACCCGCGACGAAAGGATCAACTCCTTACTTGGCGACTCTAGGGCAGACGCTCTAAACTGCGCCATGCGACAACAGTAATTGTAATCATTTGATCAGTGCCTATAGTAAGTGCAGTTGCTTAATTGCATCTGATTAAACTGTTGACTGTGAAAATAGAGAATCACTGTTCGTATCCATGTCATTCCAAACAAGAGACTTTCAATAAAATTTTCATTCAATCATTCGTGAATAATTATATGGTGTTGATAGGAGCAAACAATACAACCGCTCGTGTATCCATAATTGTATATATCTACATGAAGACATCTATCATTTATGCAAATTATTTCCTTACCACGGTGGGATGAGTGAACTACTAGTAAAACTGTGACTTGAGTGACTAAAGCTAAGTGTACTTTGTCTTTTTTTTTTTAAAATGTTTTACCCTGTTTGTTTGTTAATTTGTATGTCCTTACCTCTGACTGACGTTGCTGGATCCCACTACCTGAAGTAAACACACTACCACTAAAAACGGTCTATCCATAGACATGATGCAATCACCTTCAACCAAGACACACAAAAGTATGTTACAAGTGTAACTTAGCTAGAATTCACCGTACGGTTAACTTGCTTTGAATAAAATGCGGGAAAGGTGAATTAACTTCGTCTTTTATGTTATACTCCTCTCTCTATTTTCCTCTTTAAGTAGTACTATCAGAGCGAATCATTGGTTTTCTGCGCATGTTTTGTACATAATAAATCTCATAGGGGTGTCCTCACGGTACCATCTAACGGATACTAATTGCCTTTCCAATACATTAGAGATGCTCAGAGAGAGAATATACTTCACATTAATTGCTGATCAGCTTGTAATAAATATGATAAATGATTAATTTATAAAATCTGTCAATAGGTAAATTTTCTCGAGAGCATTTGGATTATTTAATAATGTTATTGGCCATTCTATAAGTAAGTGAACCTGTTTGCTAGCATTGCCCAGAGTATCAAATGAATCGGTTAATGTCTATTTCAAATTCAATTTTTCATATTAGTATCCAAAACTTCATGATAAGGTGTCATTTACATTTTGCATTAAATAGGACTGACTGTGATAACATGTTTATACCTCTCTCTCTAATCACTCCTCATGGGGACATAACTGAACACTGTATCGTGTACATTATTTATGTAAAAGTAACAGGCCAAACTCCATTCTGTGAGAAGAAAGAAAGGTTGTAGGACCGTTAGGTCCAATTATAGTTCTTTTTTCTCACATAATGTACAGTCTGAGGCTTATAACCTACTAAAAACATTTATTTTATAGTGTTCATAATGTACTCTTTTAGACCTTTTTCTCATTCATTGAATTAGGTATGCAATGTGTACTTATTGAACTGTGTCAGGTGAATGTTGTATTTATTTGTGTTGTGTTTTGCAAGAAATGGAGTTCTGCAAAATCACAAATTTTTATGGGGGTTAATTTTTGTTGTTTTAGAGGTATGACGAGACCCACAATTTCATGTCCACCACGAAATGTAAAATGTTACATACGTAACAACTCAACAATTCTTTATCCACGAATTCAAATCCCAAACATGAGTTTTTACTCAAATCACGAAATTTTGATCCCACGAAAATATGTGATTTTTAATTTACAGTATTAAAGGTGCATAGACACAGATTTGAAGTTAATATTTTTCTCAAATTTTCTGTATAATATCACGACTCATATATTGCAATAGCATTTCACACGAAAATATATTAAACATCTTATCTAATCTTAAAGTTATTGAAACTTAAAATTTTGGATGGGTTTGATTGACAAATCCTTGCACTTTCACAAATTTGAAATTGTATTCTTAATACTTATTAAAAGTGGCCATCTTGTTGTGTATTAATGAAAATATAAAATTTTTAATACAGGAAACTCCGAGTAGAAATGTTCGAAAGCAAAACGCAGTATATTGTCAGTCCGTGCAGTTGTGGTGAGCAGACTTTAACAATTGAACCTACTCGTAAACCTTAAAAATAACAGAACTCGTGCCATTTTTACAACCAGAAGTCTCTGTCGAGACTGTAGCTCTACTGGTATGTACTTATCAAAAACCATTGCACTATTTTATGTATCTTTGTGTAGTCTACTTGTGTGCCAACTTATTTTGAAATCAAGCTAGAACTGTAGAAGGAGTAGCGTTTTTAAGGAATTTCACAGAAAATTCTATTTTTAGTAACCATGGTAACACCGTTCATCGAAATCAGAAACCGATGCACTATTCTATGTATCTTAGGGTAGTCTACTTGTGTGCCAAGTTATACTGAAATCAGACCAAAACTGTAGAAGGAGTAGCGTTTTTAAAGAATTTCACAGAAAATTCTATTTTTAGTAACCATGGCAACATCGTTCATCGAAATTAAAAACCGATGCACTATTCTATGTATCTTAGTGTAGTCTACTTGTGTGCCAAGTTATATTGAAATCAGACCAAAACTGTAGAAGAAGTAGCGTTTTTAAGGAATTTCACAGAAAAATTCTATTTTTAGTAACCATTACAACATCGTTCATCGAAATTAAAAACCGATGCACTATTCTATGTATCTTAGTGTAGTCTACTTGTGTGCCAAGTTATATTGAAATCAAACTAGAACTGTAGAAGGAGTAGCGTTTTTAAGGAATTTCACAGAAAATTCTATTTTTAGTAACCATGGCAACACCGTTCATCGAAATTAAAAACCGATGCACTATTCTATGTATCTTAGTGTAGTCTACTTGTGTGCCAAGTTATATTGAAATCAGACCAAAACTGTAGAAGGAGTAGCGTTTTAAAGGAATTTCACAGAAAATTCTATTTTTAGTAACCATGGCAACACCGTTCATCGAAATCAAAAACCGATGCACTATTTTATGTATCTTAGTGTGGTCTACTAGTTTGCCAAGTTATATTGAAATCAGACCAAAACTGTGGAAGGAGTAGCGTTTTAAAGGAATTTCACAGAAAATTCTATTTTTAGTAACCATGGCAACACCGTTCATCGAAATCAAAAACCGATGCACTATTCTATGTATCTTAGTGTAGTCTACTTGTGTGCCAAGTTATATTGAAATCAGACTAAAATTGTAGGAGGAGTAGCGTTTTGAAAATTGTTTACAGACAGACGGACAGACAGACGGACAGACAGACAGACAGACAGACAGACGGACGGACGCCGGACGCATTACTGTCGCATAAGCTCTTCTGGTCTCTGACCAGTAGAGCTAAAAATTACATGTATGTAAATCTCACGGATGTGTTCAATTTGCTAAACTATGTAAACAATTCTAAGCGCCAACTGACAATACTTGTGAAGGGATTTTGCTTTCGGACATTTCTACTCTGATTATAATTATTTTTCTGGATTAAAGTATTAATATTTTCCATTAATAAGTAACAAGACTGCCACTTTTTTAAACTATTAAGAACAACATTCAAAACTGTAAAAGTCCAAGGATGTGTCAATCAAACCCATCCAAAAATTTAAGTGTCAATAACTTTAAGATGAAACCATTTTAATTTATTTTCCTGAGAAATGCTATTAAAATGTGATATTATACAGAAAATATTAACTTCAAATGTGTGTTAATGCACCTTTAAAATAACAAACTTAAAGATGATATCACACTGTTTTAAATGAATCTTTTAGCTTATAGGTAGTCCGATCCTCAGGTTCTGAAAATCAGGAATTGAATAATTAAAAATACTTATAAAAAAGTCTCTGAATTCTCTAAGTCATGTGTATACACCCATGATAGTTCTTCAAAATTCACCTTAGATAATCGTATGATATGGGAGAGATCAGTAAATCTTCAATATACTTTCAGGAAATGTGAATAAAAACAATCTTGATGTTTTACTTCATATTTTGAAGCTTAGCTTTTCCCTAGAAAATATTTAGCATAATTAGCTCCCTCTTCCACCATCCAAGTATATTAAGGTAGTCAGATCCTCAGGTTTATAAAATTAACAGTTAAGTAATCAAAAATACTCACTAAAGTATCTCTGAATCCACAAACTTATTTAAATTTATCCACAGTATTTCTTTAAAGTTAGAGATTAAAGTTTATCATATTATATAGGGGATTTTGTCAAATCTCCAATATTTTTTCAGAAAAAGCGAATTGAAGTATCAGCCATGCATTTTCTAATTGCAAATTGATCAACAAATATATTTTAGGTTGAAAAATGATAGGTATCCAGCCATTCAGAATCAGAGAAATTGTCATGATTTTTATACTTAAGGTATTTTTGTCTTCTATTTCTGTCATGTATTCTATAATACATAGTGTAAAAGGCTTTTGCTATCATTGGAAGACACAATAAATCACTTCCTATTTCATATCATGCTAATAAGCAATGGGGTATCTAAGGCTGGATTTAAGAAAATCTTCTTTCTCTAAAACTATATCATATTTTTTCCTTTCAGGGTACAAATGTTAACTTTTATAAGACCTTTTTCAGGTCACCTGAGTCACTCAGGTGACCTTTTGCTATCTATTTTCGTCCATGTGTACGTCGTTCGACGTTCGTTGTCAATCGGTCGTAAACTTTTAAACATTTTTAGTTTCTTCTCTGCAACCACTCAACCAATTTCCACCAAATTTTGCATAAAGCATCTATGGGTGAAGTGGAACAAAAATTGAGAATTTCATGGTCCCTGTCCCCCTGGGGCCTGAGGGATGGGGCCAAAACCACTAAAATTAATGCAATCTTTAAAGATCTTCTTTTACCTGGACATCAAGCAGTCAAACTGTTAACATGAATATAATGACCATTGAGTCCTCTACCAAAATTGTGAAATTCATGGCCCCAGGGTCAGGGGTTCTAGTGCTAGGGCATTTTTTATATTGAAAATGCATTACTGTAAACCAAGTATTATACGCGTGCGATAAATATCCGCGAGTTCCGCGAGTAACCTCTGCTCGCGGATATTTATCGTCGCGAACCAGTTGTTATGATTAGAGTTATTTACCCTTTTTTGAATACCGATCCCGACGGTTCAACAAGTAATCACGGAAGAACTCTAGTGTTCTAGAAGCAGTTGAAATTTAATTACAAACATTCAGAAAAAAGATATAAACGAATGGCAAATCTAAAACTATTTGTCTAAAAATGATTAAAACGTCAATAATTGTTTCAGCTTGTGTTATTATTGTTCATTATTGTCACAGACGAGTTAGAGATAGCCTGGTTAATTACGACTAATTATGGCCCAGTCCTGCTCTGTCCCAACCATTTATAATAATTGCCCTTTGGCTATGTAGATCTTGTAAAGCGTCAATTACCCAATTAGCATGAGGTACTTTTACACACGAGAGTTTGAAATCAACTTTAATTTCCTCGATTTTTTCCTGATTTTCATTCGAGCGTCGTGAATAATGCGTAAGAAGTATACTCATGGTAACATTTTACCTACTTTAGGTGCGGATATAAGATTTTAAACGGACGCAATGCACAGAATGTCTTGAATGATAATGCGTAAGCAGTACTCACGGTAGCATTTTACCTAGTTTATGGGCGGATAAAAATTTTTAATTTGATACCACAATTATATGTGGAAATAAAAAAAAAATATGACCACTTGTTCGCGGAAATAAATCGTCGCGGATTAGTTCTCTAGCGGTCAGTCGCGAATTAAAAATGACGCGTATAATAATTGGTTTACAGTATTTCTTTAAAAATCTTCTTCTCTGCTCCTTGGAATTAAATAAATTAACTAAGTACAGAGTTATGATGAGGAAGAAGGCCTCTTCCAAAATTGTGAATGTTATGGTCCCGGGGTCAGGGATTCTGGTGTTAGGGCGGGGCTTTAATTTATTGATTAAAGAGTGAAAATACATTCATTCTTTGAAAATCTTCTTCTCTGTTTGTGAATTTTATGGCCCCAGGGTCAGGGGTTCTGGTCTTAGGGTGGGGCTCTATTGATTATATGGTGAAAATACATTAAATATTTGAATATTCTCCGCTCCTGGGTATTTAGCAGATGAACTACCTAATATATAGCTATGATGAACAAGCACCATTCTTTCTGAATTGTGGATTTCAAGGCCCCTGGGTCAGGGGTACCATAGAGGGAGGTCTACTTATGTACTGAAAATGAATTAATTGTTTGATATCTGCTCCTTTGCATTAATCAAACATTATTGATAAGCAAGGGTGCCTTTTCCAAAATTGTGAAAAGTGTGGACCAAGAGTCAGGGGTTCATGTGTGGAAGTGGCACTACTGATTATTGCTGAATATTACTGATTAGTTGAATGCATTATTTTGTTCCCCTACTCTGTCTATGGATATTAAGTAACCAAAACAAACATGCTAAGTGTATTCCCGGTAGTTATGATTAGCAATGGTGTCTCTTTCAAAATTGGGAATGTCATGATGTCTAGTTTAGAACATAAACCAAATTCAATCGTTGGAAAGTTGTTGCATGATGCTCAGGTGACCTATAAGGCCCTTGGGCCTCTTGTTTCTAATACTTCCAAAGACCTTGAATCATATAAAGATGAATAAGATAAAAATTGTTGCATAAAAAAATTTCATTTTCAAGCTTCATTTTGATGCATTTAAAATTAAATATTAATTTTTGGAGTTATTCTTTCTGGCTGAGGATCGGATTTCCTTAATGTGAGGGTGCAAAAATATATGTGATAAAAGCTTCGTTATTATGGTAATTTATGGGGAAATATTTTTTCCGAGACTTATTGAATCAATTATACGTGTTTTCTGCTGAGTTTAAATAATAAATTGCTGCTTTGTACATTTTGTTTGAATCAGTTATCGACTGTTCAAGACATTGACACTGGACAACGCTCTCGTCCGCTACAAAGCAGAGCCTGTCCTCATTGTTAATAAATTGTTATCGTCGTATTTCAGCTTCCTATTTCCATACTGTTTGGGCACACAATAATGAATTTAGACGGTTTATGAATGAACGAAAATCTGTCAAATGAATTGCGATCATATATGTGTGTGTCACTACAGATATGACCTGTAGCTTTTTATTTGAGTTAAATATTAAACTATATTGATAATTTGTATTTGTACTTCCGTTGAGAAGCGAATGGTTAACATGGTTGAACTGCAGATTTGAATATATTCTCTAAGTAGCACAGATGGTGAGGTATTGATTCTGTAAACACACTAATGTTCTTTCAAGATAAGATGAATACAAACTCTCTTGATTATGTATCTTTCCCCCTGTGTATTTTCTCCGCCGACTTATCCATTGGATATTCACACTAACTTGTAAAAGCGTAAGGATTACATAGAAAATACCGGAAGGTGCTGTAGGGTATTAAAACCCCTATTATCTGAACATTTACCTTAGTGGGATTGGCAGCAACCAGTACATCACGTTTTATTGAAGCCTCATAGAACTAGATCTGTAAAAATCGAAATAAAATACACACTCTATGTATGAACGTTATGTGTATATTTCATTTTTCAAAATTACCCTATATGCTGAATAAAAGAGTTCACCTTCAACAATGCTCGATAGATACTAGTATTGGACATTAATCAAACTTATGTTTATATTAAATTTATTATCATCTCTTTTCTTTCTGGGCATTAATTTAATTAATTTACTTAGCCACATCATGCACATAACAATTTAATTACACATGGTATACAATAATGAAATGACTCTGCGACTGCTCATCTCGATATATTTGTTTACGTGTAATTAACTGTTTGGTTGAATAATATATTCTTTTTATATAAAGGTAAAAGTCAACCAACTAACAATAAATTTATAGTATATCAATAGCGCACACCATCTATCTTTGACTTGGATACATAATGTAAGTAAAATCTATCCTATTACTTAAAATTGGACTCAACTGCACTGTTAACAGTCTTCGATGTTATTGTTTAAGTAAATACAAAGAACTTATGTTTTAAATATTAGTAATTTTAAATACAGTCTACATGGTCTATACTTTTCATTAATGTAGCGAAGACATAAATTGAAATGTTTAAAACTAAATATTAACCAAGTTTTACATACCTTATTAATGCAGTATTTAAATCAGACTAAATGATATCCTTTGTTAAAATATATATTTGTAGATTAACACGAATATCAAAGGCTAGTAATAGGCGATGAAGGCCGTGTGGCTGAAGGTTGATGAATACGATGTTTAACCCTCTATGCTAACAATAACTTAATTCATGCACTGAACCAATAAAGTTAATTATTTCCTCTTGTGTATCACCTGACTAATGCTATCTGTCTATTTCTTCTCAGTCAAACACATATCTAAACGGACTTCAGCACTGAGTAAATATAATGCATTCCAAAACAATACTTCAGGCTCCCGCATCAGTCGATGAGAGTTTCTCAGTCATCTATAATGCAATACATTCAACACTTTTAAAATGCATAAGGATGGACCTTTAGGAAATCATCTGCAGAGTAAACAAATTAAGGGTTTAGATGTGCACACCTCGAACGACATGCAATTCAACGACAGAAAAGGACCAAACTGCAGAGTAGCAGATTCGTGACGACGTGGCCGTGAATGAACCTGGCATACCACGAGAGATTATCTCTCATTGGCGTACAATAAGTTTCTCTCAGAATGTAAATAACTATGTACCCGTAATCAATAATACACCTGCAAGTGTTTGAGGCTTATCCTATTTACCAGCTTTTGCTTCAGTGAATTACTAGTACAAATTTTATTCATAATGATACTCGCCCATGTAAACGCGCGATCGTAAACACTAATAAAACATTGAAGATTGATTTATATGTTGTTTAACGTCGCTCTAGAGAATTTTTTACTCGTTTTGAAACGGCACGACTTGCTGGTGGAGAGCTGCAAATTTTGTCTTATACTCGGCGCTTACAGCTATTGAGCAGTGAGGGATCTTAATTTTCGTGCCAGTACCTACTGCAATACGGGACCTCGGTTCAAATGGTCCTTACGTCCCAGTGGGATTCGAACCCGCGACGAATGGATCAACTCCTTATTTGGCGACTCTAGAACAGACGCTCTCTAACCACTGCGACATGGACGCGGACTACCAACAACATTGAAAAAGAAAGTATCGTAGGGATTTTGTGTGTGCTGGAGTGTTACTAGT